ACTTATCCATCAGCCAATTTCAACTAGAAGGTAAAGGCCTCTGCATTCACAGTGTTATCAAATCTGTGAATCTGATATTGATTATTAATGCAGAATGGAGTGGGAAAGCTCATGAACTATTATAGTTGTGGTACTCTAGCAAGACTTTGAACTTTTACAAACAATCTTCAGTTTCTCTGAAAAGTCCTTGGTAAAATCAGGATAGATTGATATGTTACTTTGGCTAGAACCCCATGTCAATGGAGATTTTACTGATTCCTGGCAAAATATGTATAAAATCTCATCTCTTGTGGTAACCTGAAGGAACTGCATAAGAAAAGTATTTGAAGTACTGTAGCTTCAATCTTCTGTCTTGTTAAAGGAATGTTAAACACATGTTCAATCTTGACTAGAAAGGCCATTTCCAAAGAGAAGAGCTTTCTGAAAAAATGCTCCATATAATTCAGGTTTGATTGAGTTGGAGGATTTTCAATGCCGGTCTCACACAAATTTTTCCTGTGCAGTTGTGATTCTAAATAAGTAATTCATTTAGTCAATATATTAAGACTGGCTTGAGTTATGATACTGTGGGTTTATAATCAATCTTCATATCTAACCATTTTATTTCTTGCCTTCATTTTAAATCACTCATAAGCTCAGCCAGATCTTGCTGGATTGGCTTCAAGACTTGTACTTGAGCCTGGATCTCTTTTTAACGTCAGTAGAAGAATCTTCCTCATCCTCTACCATCTTTCCTGGCTCAGCAGATGGTGACGCAGTTGAAATTAGATCAGCTCTTGACCGCTGGGATTTAGCTGCCATGGCAATAGCTTGTTAAAAACAAAATAATATATGAAGACAAATTAGTTTATTTGCAGAGAACATTCTTATGATTATTTCTAAACTTTATACTACTATTCCACTGTTGATGCAAAATATAAATGTCTTTAGCAAAATAGCATGATACTTTATTCACTGGTTCGAACTGGAACTGATACCAATAGGTAAAAATTGGATTATTCATTCATTTGAATATAAATTCCATATCCGCACCAGATCAATTAAATATTTAGGTACGTATTGTCAACCCTCACAGATAAACTAGACAGTAAACAGGGCTAGATGAACTAATTATATTTAATTGTTAGGATACATTAACACAGTCTTGCAAGTCTGAAAGTACAAACTTCCTGCCACCATTTTTAACTGGGTGGTTCTTTCCTAAGTTTCTTTCTCTGACTTTTAAGCCATTAGCTGTTCCTGCTTCTCTTGTCTGATGGTTTCCTAGGCAGCATCTCTTCCCCTCTTTCCTCAAGGTCATCCATGTATTCCATTGAATGTATATACCAAAGGATATAAATCAGTTATCAACGTGCAAGATAAAACACAGAGAGAGGTTTCTTCAAATATCAATAAATGGGAGTCATTAAACCTTACTCTTTGGGGGAAAGGTGAATGCTCTCAGATTATCCCCAGATTAATTAATGTCCAAGTGTATAAGCATGCTTGTGCTGTTTGGACCAGGTATCCGTGATTTGAAATCAAACCCCTTTGCAAAATTGAATCAAATGATTTCTTGCATCATTCCTGTCCCCAAGTCCAAAACTGCCCATCATGGCTGTTTCTGCTTGGCTGACAACGTTTGGATTAAAATCATCCAGTATATAAACAATGACTTTTGGGGATACTTGTTCCTTTTTTTCAAAAGTGGCATAGAAATTTTGTATTTCAAGTTCCATTGCATCAGTTGTTGGTACCTAGGCTTGGACAATTGTGATTTTGAGGGGCTCGACATAATTTGAATGGTTATGATTTAACTGTTTGGATAAGTTCCTTGCTTGTGATAAATACCACTCCATTCATTGTCCTGGTATAACGTCCCAAGTAATAGATAGTGAATTCATCAAACTGGAAATAACCATTGTCTATTCATTGTAGCTCACTGATGCCAAGAAGGTTGATTTTCAACCTGGCTATCTCCTGTTTGATTATAGTATATCCAATTTATGCTGCCTCATTCCTTGGACATTCCATGTTGCTTTCTGGATTTGCTTTCTTGTTTTCACCAGGGGCTGCATCAGCAGCTGGGATTCCTTGCTAGATTTGGTTGAGGCATATCATTCACACCTCGACCACTTACTGTGGGCCCTTGCTCTTTCCCAATACTTGTTGGGTACCTTCTGGCCTAAGGATTTTACCATATCTGATTCATTTGAGAGTTTTTCCATAAATGTTTCTTGGCAAAGTTTTTTTTTGCAAATTAAGTTGCAGGTCTTTCTCAATCCTGCCCATTTATCCAAGCTTGGGACCAGCATGCAAGTGTACAGCTGTATAACATAAATGCCTTTATTTGGGGGGAAGGTGCAGTTAGAATCCAGTGACTTTTAAAAAGAGTATTTTATCTGCTCCCACTTAAGTATCTGTTTATGTATGTAGTGATAAATAACTCCAGGAAAAAAAAGAAGCATGGATTTCTTTTTTTTACATCTCTCCAAATTCCTTCCCTCTTCCTTGTTTTTTTTACCTTCAGTTCAATGTGGACTCTTGATAACTGCCTGGACATATCCCTGTAGTTTTCTTTAAAAGGTTTTTAGGAAATGCTTTGCCCTTGCCTGCTTCCTAAAGCTGAGAGAGGGTGACTAGCCTAAGGTCTCCCAGCTGGCTTCATGTCTAAGGCAGAACTAGCACTCAAGCTCTGCCAGTTTTTAGCCTGATGCCTAAACTATAACACCCAACTGTCTGTCTCCCTAATGCTTCCCTGAAATTAAAAGAAGAAGGGTGGAATGTTGCTAAACAATTTCTAGAGGTTTAAAGCCACCTTACCTCTTTCCTTGGCTTCCCTAGAAGGACAAGTGTGATGCTAAATTAGAATGTGTGTAATTAAATTAACACACAATTAATTTAAACACTATTATAAAAAGTGAGGATGAATGGAATATAGAAATCGGTACTGTATAAGGAAAATTATAGAATATTTTATGGGTGATATATAAGTTAGAATACTGAGTGAAAATTGACCACAGTGCTACAGCTGTTGCAGATTAGTCAAGGGGTGTATCCAGTACATTGTCTACTCTTATTTTGTGGAATCAATTTCAGCAGTGCGGTAGTTTTATTTGTAGTAATCCTTTACAAACTACCTTTACCCATACAATTTGAGTTATTCTGTCTTGGACAGAAAAGTTCTTCCACAAGACCAAAATGGGAATATTTCCTTAGTGCAGAAAATTACTTGAGGCCTGAATATAAAGGAAAAATTAAATACTAAAAATGTCTTAATTAACATTAGCGATAACACAGAAAACATATGAGCAGGGATAGGAAAGATGGGTTGAGTTGAACAGAATTACTAAAGAATTGAAACACGGGCCTTTCAAGAGCAGAGTCAGCAGCCTTGAAGGTAAGAAGAGATTTGAAAGTCTTAAGACTTGTAGTAGTATGAGTAAACAGAGCCAGCAACAATATTCTGGTTGACAGACACATATTGTTCATGTCCCTTTTCATATCTTCCTTTAATTCCCCCCCTTTTAAAAAAAATAAAGTTGTAGTTTAGGTGCTTGCAGCTGAGCATGTACATCTTATTTTTTTCTATTTTCACTTAAACAGAGGATACCATCTGCAAAAAAAATAGTACTTACTGCAAACTAACTGTTTTTAGAATCAGAGCAGCTGAAGCAAATGCTATTGTATCTCTGATACATGAATTTCAATCAATCAGTCAATCAGAATAGAGCTGGAGGGGACCTTGGAGATCTTCTAGTTCAACCCACTGCTCAAGCAAGAGATCCTATACCATTTCAGACAAGGGACTGTCCAGTCTCTTCTTAAAAATATCCAGTGATGAAGCACCCACAGCTTCTGAAGGCAAGCGTTTCCAATAGTTAATTGTCCTCACTGTTAAGAAGTTTCTTCTTAATTCCAGGCACATCTTCAGAACATTTCCTCTGATCAGGATTCATCAGTGGGTTTATATTTTTATTTACTGATATTTTAATTATAGAGAATGTAAAAACAGTTGCAAAACATGGAAATCTCAACAGGTAGGGAAAAGATAATCTTAGCTCGTTGAGTCATTGAAACTAATGCACAATGGACAGCTAAAACCTTTTAAGTCCAAGTTCTAAAATTATTTGTCTGCACCAGTGAATAATAAGCAGGAGAAACAGCACCACCATCTGTTTGTGTGTTATGAGAGATAGTTGTGCTACACAATTTATTTATTTATTATTTTTTTGACAATTCATGCACCATGGGAAATTGCAGACTGCAAATAAATAAAATAAAATCAAACTGAAAATACTGTAGGTAAATGGAGAGCCCTTCCTGTTCTTGATCCAACCTCTGGGGCTTATAGTGAAGTCATGAATGATACGGGAGGTGAAAAGTGAGTCACTTCACAAGGAGGCTGGAACAGTAGCTGCTGACAGTGGGACAAAGTCTTTTTGAGCTTTTCAACTTCACACCTTACTAATGAGTACCCAAGTTACACTGTTCTTAATAGAATATTTCCTATCCCCGAGGCTTACTCCCAGTTAGGTCTGTGATTAAATAGAGCTTATGTTAACAGTATCTCCTTTCTGTATTTATTTCCCAGTGCTCTTTCCTTTCAACACTGCTTATACTTGGACGGGGTTTTTTTTTTAGTGTTGTTTCTCACCTAAGGACATCAGACAGCTTGGAAATGTCTCAAACTCTCAGAATCAAAGAGCTGCAGGAATTTCTTCTCTTTTTCAGAGTCATTGACTGTGAGAGAGCTAGGATGAAGCTGACTGTAAAAGAAAATGTTCTTTTGGAGTAATAAAATATAAAGCATAACATTATCATTACCTTATTAAAGGTAATAAACCATGAGAAATATGTTCTTATCAATTGCTCATGTTTAATCTACAGTAGATCTCTATTAGCTAGCAGAGCAAATACCTCTGAGGGTTCTGGTGTTAAAACTTAATTGGATACAGAAGATAAACATCGCATACCAGACCCTCACAGCTATGTCTTTCTCCTGTTCTCTTGCACTATAGCTTTCCCCTGGATCTGAGGATGATGAGGGACATGACAGCTCCAGCCGAGAGAATCTGGGCCGCATCCAATTTAGTGTTGGCTATAATTTCCAGGAATCGACTCTCACTGTCAAAATACTGAAAGCTCAGGAGCTGCCAGCCAAGGATTTCAGTGGCACAAGTGACCCTTTTGTCAAAATTTATCTCCTGCCAGATAAAAAGCATAAACTGGAGACAAAGGTGAAAAGGAAGAACTTAAATCCACATTGGAATGAGACCTTTCTTTTTGAAGGTAGGTAAGAAGGTCTAAGATTCTGATTACTGAAGTCAAGGCTTTGCTAAATAAATCTGCCTCATAGTTAGGTTTTCAGCCTCTCAAGCAGGGTAGTGGTCTTCATTTCCCAAACTTAAAGACAAGCAACATAGTTGAAAGAAAACTGCTGACAGGCAGGAAACTTGTTTGTGAATAGAAAAAGACGGTGTGGTCAGAGGAGGACTGATTAACTGTGGCAATCCTTTTGTCCTAGAAGGAATGTTTCAAAGTTGAACATTTTAACATTTTGGGGAGGTGCCACTCTTCTCCAGATGGGACAGAAAGAAAGGGTGGACAGTGTTCATCACCCTCCTTGCCTTTTTTCACCAGGCTAGTGTAACTATTTGTGAAGAACACAAACATGTTTGAAGGCTTTAGAGTTCACACACCCAAGGTTTCTCCTAATGACCACACCACAATCCACCTCCTTTTATCTCTACTAATATTCTAGCATGGGAGAGTTAAAAACTCTCACTAAATGAATATGTTCACTGAAGAAAAGAAAAACATAAGCATTGCCATGGTGGATCAGACCACTGGCCCATCTTTTCCAGCAGTCCATTCTCAATGTGATCAACCAATCACCAAAGGAAGCCCACTAGTCTCCCAGCAGAAGGTCTTTAGAGACAGTCCTATTACCGTCAAAACTAACAGCCCTTGATCCCATAACTTCCCTGAATTGGTCCAACACTTTTTTGAAGACAACCACTGCTGGTAACCAGGATTCGCATCTCTTGGTAGTAAATTCCAAAATTGCATTTCTAGTCCCAATTTCCAACTTCATTTCTGGAACACATTGGGTGTGTTGTCTGCCATTTACAAAAATGTTATAACAGTTAGTGAAAGGAGGAGCTGTAGTGCTGCCAAACTCTCTTTTCTTTGTTGCTATTAAAAGCCTATGACTACCATTGATGGTGAAAAAATAGCATGCAAGCAATTTTTCAATCAGGTGCTCTTCCAAGTAGCATTATAACAATAGCTGAATGTTGTTCTAGTGGAGGGGGGAACTGGTACATTCTAAACAATGCCTATAAGTTGGCATCACGACAAAATACTGAAGATTTTTGGTGAGCAGATGACTGGGTGGAAGAGACGGTTTTAGAGCAACAAAAATTAGAGTTCACTGTAGCTCCCTTTGCCTTGCCTACTATGTACTTGGGTATATTTTCAAGGATTAGCAAGTAATTCAAATACTGTACAGCTTAAATAAATGCCGTCAATATTTTAAAATACAATCATCATGATAATGTGTATTTGACTAGCTGAATGGAGAAAAAAAAACTCTTGAGTAGTTGTTGTGAAAGAAGGCTTGTGAAACAATCAAGCTACCCTCCCCTTTTAAGAGCCCATGAACAGAATTGCATTAGCTGAAACCCAGAGGCCAGGAGACAAGATAAGGTAAGTCTTCACGCCTGTGAAAAAAACAGACTGTTCATAAACTGTTCAGAGTTCATTGAGGTAAAATAAAAGCCTGCTTTTTTATTACTTCAAGCACATGATTGTTGAACTGGACATTATCTCAGCTACCAAACAGGTGAAGCTGAGGGAGCATGAAGCTCCAGATCTGAGTTTAAAGTAATGCAAATACCAGTAGGGAGATTCTGTGTGAGATTATTCTCATTCTCCCAACACAATAGGGATACCATTTTTGTGCCCTATAGCTGTAAAGAATGCAGCATTGACGTGGTGGTTCATGACAACAGTTTTTTTACATCACAACAAAAAAGCATTGCTATTGACCACTCCTACTAAAGGCTGAAATAAAAAAAGCTTCTTTAATATTTTAAATATGGAAATGTGCATGTACTGAGGGCATAAGCATGCAATTGTTGTACATATAATAGCATCTGAGTATTACGGGAATCGAAGTCCAATGTACTGAAGGATGTCAAGTTGAGGAATACGGCCCTAAATCATTGATCTATCACATTCTCTCAAGTCATACCATGGTCCACCTATTTCATCTGGTCAATTTGTGTTACCTTATGTCTCCTTTACTTTATCCAATTGTCTTGCCTTCTGCCAAGTTAGATCGTGCCCTTATTCCATTACATTTAGTACCATTCTCCAGGGAAACATAGAAAGAACCAAATTCTTTACTAGTAATCTAAGGGCAAATTATGGATGAAGGCCAGGATTTGTCCTAGCTCTTAGAACAGCCAATCAGTTCCCTGAAGCATCAAGTTGAATTAATAAAACTTTATTATTACTCGTTAATCTAGAAGACGAAAGCCAATTTGGTGTGGTGGTTAAGATAGCCATCTAGAGATAGGCATTCTAGTCCTGCCTTAGGCACAAAGCCAGCTAGGTGACCTTGGGAAAGTCACTGTCTCTCAGCCCTAAGAAAAAGGCAAGGGTAAACCATTTCCAGAACTGTTGCCAAGAAAATTGCATACTCCAGAGACAAGACAGACTTGAAGGCACAGGACAAAAAAAAGTCTAGACGACTAAAAAGTTATCCAAAGCTACTAAAAAGTTATCCAGAGCTACAAGATTATCTGTAAGTATAGTTGCCGTTATCCTTATTTGGTTCGGTACATTACTATGGAAAAGACCACTACATACAAGGGAATGACTGTCTTCAGATGAAGCCGTTTTTACATTTCAAATTCTTGTTACTCTGCTTAACTATATTTCATCTCTTGTTTTCTTTATTTCTCTCTGTCTCTTTCTCATCTGCTTCTTTGCTTTCATCAGGTTTCCCATATGAGAAAGTGGTTCAGCGGGTGCTGTATCTACAGGTCTTGGATTATGATCGGTTTAGTCGTAATGATCCAATTGGAGAAGTTTCCATTCCTCTCAACAAATTGGACTTGACTCAGATGCAGACTTTCTGGAAAGATCTAAAGCCCTGCAGTGATGGGAGTGTAAGATACTAGTTTTGCTTTGCAACTTTGCACACTTTCCCCTAGCATGGCAAGAGGATATCAAGCTTCTGAAGTACTGTTCATGAGATCCTTCCTGCTTCTTTTTATAATGCCATATAAGGGCATAAAACCTTAATACCGGCAAGATGTCAGGTATGGTGGTAGATACCATGTAAGGCTGATACAGTGAGTGAGAGAAGCCACTAACCCTAACACCCACCTGTAATGCTTCTAAATATACTGATTATTTGTCAGCAGCACAAAACACAGTATATGAAGTTTGCTTGTTATATTCACTGAAATATTATTATTATTATTATTTAGTCTATGATGAGAATATGACAAAACGGAAGTAAACATATATACACGGTCCACATAATTATAAGTAAAATTTCTACAGCGGGGTACGACAGTGGCTTCATAACTGGATGTCCAATTCAGCTATCCAGGTAATCGCCTCTGGAGTTGGTTCACGCAGATCTAGGGAACCAGAGAATGCACGTCATGGGCAATCTGTTACAATATGTTTAATAGCTTGCATATCGGCATCACAATCGTAACAAGGGGAATCTTTCTTACTGAATGGTATTGCTACAATCAAGCAACTATATGTGATAGAGAAGGCATTCCTTTACTATAAAAAAAAGACTATAACAAATGTTCTTAAAAAGCAGTCCTTTTTTCCAACTTACTCAATCCAAAAGCAAAATTATTAGTCTTGCCTCCTTTTTGAATTCCCATGCTTATTTATACTAACCTGTTGTAATCCAAACTGGCACTCCAGAACACGGCTACCAGCCATAAGTATTGTTGTCCTTGATTAACATGAATACAAATAATTATTTCAGCCAATATTTTTACCAGTTAGCACAAAGGTACAAAAATAGCAGCTCAAAAGCTGCAAACATCTTACCAACATCTTTTTGTGCCCCTGTAGATTCTTTTATAAGTGCCTTTGGTCCAATTTCTGCACTGCAGAAGAGCTAAAGGGAGAAAAGAGTGCCTTAAGACTAGCAGATAGAGATAATCACCAATATATAGATAGTCACTTAACAACCATTTGAAGTTACGTCAGACCTCCCCAGGGGTATTTACAATCCAGTTCTGAAATTCCAGTGTCCCCCACCCCCCATTCTGTGCACTCAGCAACTGGACCACATTTACGACCACTTGCAATCTCCCGTAGTCATGTGACTACATTTTTGCCAAAAACTGGTATTTACTTCCAGATTTCCACAAAACCAATCAAATGGTTTTGCTTAACGATCACAGCATTCGCTTAACGATCCCAGTATTTGCTTAGTGGTTGCAAAATCACCACCAAAAGGTTAGTAAAATCGGGTTGGCCATGTGGGTAACCTGCTTTATGACTGTCACAATTTACAGTTATGGGCAGACTCCATTATGGTCATAAGTCAAGGACTACCTGTACTCAGAACACTTGTTTCAACCCTTCAACCCTTGTTTTGTTTCCTGTAGGAGTGCAATTTTCATTAGGCCACACAGCATGCTGTGGCTGTTGATCTGATGAAAGTTATGTACTCCCTAATTTAAGATGGGGGCTGTCTTCTGTATAGAATGAACAGACCAAATCCAGAGGCATGTTCAGAAGACTTCAGTTCCAAGCATAGTGAACCTTTAGGAGGGGCATCAGTGATGTCAAACATTAGACAAAATTTTCTCATCTCTGTTCATTTTTCCAGGGAAGCCGAGGAGAACTACTTCTGTCCCTTTGCTACAATCCTTCTGCTAACTCCATTACTGTGAATATTATCAAAGCTCGGAATCTTAAAGCCATGGATATTGGGGGAACATCAGGTATTGAATTCCAGAACAGTAGCAAATAATCTCAAGTCAAAAGTCACTTACAAATTAACCTTTTCCTTAGAACAAAGGTCCCCAACCCCTAGTCCGTGGACCGGTACCGGGCCGTGGCATGCCAGCAATGGGTCCGCACAAACAAGCAAAGCCCCATCTGGGAGATGCAGGCAGCATACAAAATCATGCCCTCTCCGGTCCGTGGAAAAGCCTCTCTCCACGTAACCAGTCCCTGGTGCCCAACAGGTTGGGGACTCTGCCTTAGAAGCTTGGGCACTTATGTTTGTGGTAAATCTGGTAGAAATCTGTGAAATATCAGAATGTGTTTGATGATCAGACCTTTTTCCTCCAGCTGGGATGCAAGAACCGGGTGTTATTTATGTTTTACATCACTGACTGACAGAAATGATGCAGCCTTACCTTATCCAGGATTCTGTGTGTAACGGGAGAAATACTAACCATTACCAAGGCGGTATTCCATTTACACGGTCAAAAGTCTTTCTAAAACAACAGGTGCCATATAGCGGAAGAGTCCTTTAAAGGGCTGAAAAGACAAGCCAAATTTGTGTCTCTATGTGCCTGTGTGTGTCCTCTATATTTGGAACAATAGCATAACTCATTGTGCATCATTTTAGGATGCATTGTAAATGGGAAATGCCAAAATTAACTAATTATTTTAAAAAAAACAGGCTGGAAAAATGTCAATGTATATCAGAGATAGGTAATCATTTGGGTTTTAAGAGTTCAGTGTGACATTGAGTGGTGGATTGATGGCTGCACATTCCCATGCATAAACAAAGTTGATCAAGTGGGGAAAATGGACAAGGCTGTCTTTGGCTTTCCAGTCTACAGAAGAATGGCTAAAAGTCACATGTATAAATAACTTCCTGGAAATGAAATATAGCATCTGGTGCTACGCAGTATCTCAGATTTGATTTTTTTTTAAATGGTACAAAATATTCAGAAACTTGAACATAGCATTTTTTTTTTTTGCAAGTCTTTAAAGAAGCTGTGTCTTTTCTGGGATTTTATGGGCACCCTTGGCAATGGCAGGGCTGCTTTAAAGAACTACATACATACTATATTCATGCCCCACAGGCTCCCAATGGAACGAACGCCCATTCATTTTCCTATGTAGAACTTAAACTTGCAATTGGATCTTTTTATATAAATAAAACTGAACCTTCTACTTTCAAATTTCATTCAAGTGCATCACACTGTAAGGAAAAAATGATTATTAGCAGCTTTAGTAAGAGTGATGCCTAAGTACTGGCATGTTCCCTCTATAACTTACACTGTTTCCTCAGTTAAATCCTAGCAATCATGTCCATTTTTCTTGCATCAGATCCTTATGTGAAGGTGTGGCTGATGTACAAAGATAAGCGGGTGGAAAAGAAGAAGACAGTGGTAATGAAGCGATGCCTGAACCCAGTCTTCAATGAATCCTTCATATTTGACATCCCCACAGAGAAGCTGAGGGAAACCACCATAATCATTACGGTCATGGATAAGGACAAGCTGAGCCGGAATGATGTCATTGGAAAGGTAGGTTATCCCCTTGCTTGCTTATCAGAATTTAGGATTTACATTCCTCCTCAAATACTCATGATTTCCTGTCAGAAATACTATTAATGCTTTAGTTCCTTGCAGCTTTACATCAGCTGAGCCCCTCCTCATGTATTTGAACAAAAATATTTTATTAGAACCCCTTGTATGATAGATGTAAGCCAAAATAATTTCAAATCACTAGTCCAGGAAAGAACAACTTTGCAAAAAGAAAATTTCCTCTACCTTTAGTCCCACAGCTAAATGTCAATAGTAAGAGGTAACAAGAAGAGATGAGACAATCTATAGGTAACACAGGATGAAAACTAAAGCATAATGATAATGGAAGATACAATTTCTGCACAGGGTTTAGGATTAAAGGATTATGCCAAAGGCAGAAAGGGATGAATTATAATTGAAAGTTGGTGGCTGTACTTTAACAGTATGATATCTGGGGGTGCTCCAGGTGGAAAGAACAGAGTTTTGACTCCCAAAGGCTTCCAGCTCCCATTTTGACCCTCACTTTCCCTCCAAAACATTCAGTTGTAGTTTAATATTCAGAGCAATCCTAACTCCCTTGAGCAGCCATTTCAGAAAAGAACAGATGGGGTAGATTGGTCCATTAGTTTTAGAGCTATTTTGCCTACCACTTTAGTCCTGAGTATATTTCTACTGTTCCTAGCAATAGAAACCAGCAGAAGACCCTGGAATAATTCATGGGTTGGTCAGGAACAATACACGGCAGATTTGGATCCAATCATTTGTCCTCTTAGAAAATCTTGAATCTTTCACAACACGAGTCTGGAGAGTAGGTAACTAAATTCTCTCTCCATTACAAACAATTGAAGTGGGATGTGATAAAAAGAAAGCAAATTTACTCTACTATATCCAGACATAGCTTCTGCCCTTGCTGGCACATGTAGTGCTTACAGCTTGTCCTACTTTAAATTCTATGTCTCAAATGTCTACAAGAATAGCACAGTAGGAGATTTGTACTAAATATATCTTGATTTGTCTCAAAATATTCTTGCAGTCCTCATCCTTCTGGAGTAGAGAATATTTACTTAGGATAAACTTGAATCTGAGTCTCCAATCTGAGTCTCTAGCAAAAAATCTTAAATTAACCATTAACTAGATATAGATCTTTGGGCACTCTATGTGCAAACAATGTGTGTGCTGCCAACAAGTTCAGTTTTTAATTGTTAGAGATATCACAGCTGGGTATTGAGATAATATGAAGAGCAAATCGGAACCAACATGTTAGCACAGTTCCTTGGCATGTCCAGCAATTTCTGCTACAACAGTTCAGCATTCTGATTTGAATCTGTGCACAGTGATTCTACTAACTAGTGTTATATTGTGACTTCTGCTTTAAAGCAATTTGTGGAAAATATTAGTCAAATGGATCCATCCAAAGCTTATAATTTGTAGTATAGGATAGAAGTATATGCTTGGCAAAGTAATAACAAAATTATATGTCATGCTTCCTTACCCAATGCCATTTTGTACTGTTTTTTTTTCAACAAGGTCAATTATCCTTCAACATTTTGCAATTCAATGATATAGTGTATAACTATTTAGCTTAATGAACTTCAGGAAATATTAAATGGAACATTTTAATAGCTGAAGAGCTGACTTCTTGTTTTAAAATGCAAGCTTATATACAGCACTTTAAATTAATTAGCTTTAAATCTGATTTAAATGCATTAAATATATACAATTCTGTTCTCATTAGTGAATAATAATAAATTGACATCCTAATCTTGATGTTTGATTTGTGCCACAGAGAGAAAACTGTTCCATAATATGACATGATATTAAAACAAGTGGCATGTGTATCAAATTAAAATCAACATAACATGAACTCAACGTCAGTAAAATGACAATTTAAGCATAACAAAATTGTACAGGTAATGCAAGCTTGATCTGGTCCTTGAGAAATTAGTGATTAGCTTTGCTCAAGACCCGTAAAGTCTCTGTAGAGTATCCAATTTCCTGAGGAAGGAAAGCAGACACAGGATACAGATTCTTGACTTTCATGGGTTGCTTCTGTTTGGAATTGCAGTAAGTAGAAAACCAGCTAACTGTCAGACCAGACCAGGAAATCAACTCCACAAGAAGGCTTGTGTGTCAGGCTTGGAAAATAATGACCGTGCTCTGTGCTAATTTTCTGCAGGGCAATGCTTTAAGCATTGTTAAGATTCTTAACAATCTTCCCAAATACTTGCAAAGGTATTGGATGGAAATGTAGGAAAAGAAGGGATTTCATTCAGGTTCTGATTAGTCAGGGAGAGATTCTGAGCAAAGTTAAAGCTAAGTTTCAGTTATGAAACCCACGGTCACTAAATAGAATAAAACGTCAAGATCAACTAAAAGCAAAACTTACGCAATTCGAGTATTAGAATAGCTCATCTGCCTCAGCCTCTGCTGAAACTATGTGATAATAATGAGTGACTGAATAATTACTATTGTCAACCTCCAGTCAAGTTATGAAATCACATGGCTTTGAGAGAGAGTCAGAAAGCTACATTAGTGATTCTGGAAGACAGATCTTGGCTGTCATTGTGGGGGAGAAGATGACACACACATCCTCCATGCAGCAGTATAGAAACCCAGTTGATAAAAATAACTAAATCTACCACAGGGATTAACACTTCTTAGCTTTACCATGTAAACTAATTCTGACACCTCCAACACATTTGCGCAGCAGAAGAGAAATAAAGGCTGGGGGGTAGCTGGTGTGGGTGAAAAATTCCAGCCAACAGGGCAACACGTTAACTTCATACTGAAGATGTGAAACCCAGGGCTGTTACCTGGGAGTAAGAACTGGAGTTATATCTCTGAGTTCTGTTTTGTCTGCAGCAGTGATGCCAAAATGATAACATGTACGTGGTTATGTCACAATGCCTGTGTTATCATTACATATTTATAGCCTGACTTTTAATACAAATACATATGTTGTAGCATTTGTCTGATGAGTTTGTCTCACATATTTAGTTCTTGCTACCACCCATCCAGAATTCATATTTCTTAACTTAGTGTCCCCTCCCCCTCATATGCCCATCATTTACAACCAAAATGGTCATGATACTATGGGAGACGGCGTTACAGTCCAACACATTGGGAAACCACCAGTTTAGGAAATACTGGTCTGTAGAAACTCACGTTCTTCAATGGGCCCATAGTGATTAATAATAGAAATAGAATCATAGGGATGGAAAGGACCTTGAAGGTTTTCTAGACCAATTCCCTGTCCAAGACAAGAGTCCTTTTTCCATTCCAAATAAATGGTTGTCCAGTCTTTTCTTAAGAACCTCCAGCAATGGAGCACCCACAACTATGGGGGGCAAGCTGTTTCATTTACTAATTGTTTTCACTGTTAAGAAATTTCTCCTTAATTCCAGGTTGGGTGTTCCTCTGACAAGGTTCCACCCATTGCTTCTTATCCTGTCCTCAGGTGCTTTGGAGAATAAATCAACACCCTCTTCCCCATGACAGTTGTTCAAGTACTAGAAGATGGCTATATGTCACTCCTTCTCTTCATTAGCCTAAATGTTCCCTTAGGCGTTCCTCATACAGTATAGCCTCCAAACACCTTATCATCTTTGTTGCTTTTCTCTGCACTCTTTCTATGGCTTCATCATCTTTTTTGTATCATGGTAACCAGAACTGTATGCAGTATTCCAAGTGTGATCTTACTAGTATGGTATAGAACAGTACTATCACTTCTTGTGATTGCGATGCTATCCTTCTGTTGATGCAGCCTAGAACTGCATTGGATTTTTGGCAACTGCAGCACACTGCTAGCTCATGCTTAAGCGGTGATCCACTAGAACACCTAGATCCCTCTTATAGTTACTACTATCGAGCCAGGTACTGCCTATTCTGTAACTGTGCTTGGGTTTTCCTGCCTAAGTGCAGGACTTTACTTTCTTAACACTGAACTGCATTTATTGGATAGGATCCAATGCTCAAGTCTGTCAAGATTCTTCTGAATCACGAGTCCAAAGTGTTCACAATTCCACACACACATACACCCCAGCTCGGTGTTATCTGTACATTTGATGAGTGCCTCTTCAATCCCTTCATCTAGGTCATTTATGAAGATGTTGGAGAGCACTGAGCCCAAGGCAGAACCTTGAGGTACCCCACTGGATACTTCCCTCTGTGTAGTTGCAGTTCCACTGAGGACCACACATTGACATTCATAGATTTATATTTCATATCATTCATATATGCCTATGTATTCATTGGATGTATTCAATAATATATTCAGATAACATGGAGTTCTCTAAAATGTATTACTAAGGTTAGAATTTTATTAGGAAATGTGCTTCTTTAAATGTCAGACCCGCTGGCTATCAAACTTATTTGATCTATCAGAAGGGATGTTCAGTTTTCTATGGCCAAGCCTATATTTCTTTGTATTCAAGTCTATCACATGCCCAAGTAACTCTTGACTAGCTACTTCTTTGTATGTTGAATGTCTTCATTTTTCAACTGTGTAGACTAATCTTCTCAAGATACTACCTGCAGATGTTTCATGAAGGAAAGAATACATCTTTGTGTCTTTTTCTTGAAGGCTGAAAAGTTGCTTCGCATGACTACCATATTTTGTTGGGAAATTCACGTTCAGACATTCTTTTCCTTTCCTATCAGATGAAATCACACAATTCTGAACAGTCAACCTACAACTGGAAATATAATCAGCTGTGACTCAACTGCACCTAATCAGTACACGTTTTGTGTTTATCTTGTCTTCTATAAATTTAGTTTTCCTTTCCCAGAAAAGTGCAGAAAACCAAGAATGTAATAGCCAAGAAATTTCCTATACATTTCATGAAATGATAGAAACTAAGTAGGAAACAATATGGCTTAGTCCATTATGATGATTAGTAATACGGTCAGCCAGATGTTTAAACTAGATTTGGCATTATTGTTTATTGCACAATTGGCCAGATGTTCAGACTGGATTTGGCATTTTGTCCACCTATCGAATCCTTCCCAAGGACCTGGGATAGGCAGATATGGATGTTTGATGGTGTTACAAATATCATTGCAGAATGTAAGCTGTTCTGAATAAAGCTGCCTTTTGAATTGACTGATGGTGAATTTGTTAATGCTGATAGTATCCAAGTAGTGCTCTAATTGTTTTGGGATTACACTCAAGCATCTCTTACTATTGGTATTACCATAGTTGTTCTATTTCTATTTACAGCTTTTTGTATTTTGTTGTCTTCTCCAGTTCTTTCTCTTCTATTTTGCTCTCTCCAGGGTCTGCCACATCCATTATCTACTTTTTTGTCTTTCTTATTAACAATTGTTAAGTTTGAGGTGTTATGTGGCAGGTGCCTGTCTGTTTGAATTTTAAAGTCCCAGAGCATTTTAGCTTCTTCATTCTTTATTATTTTCTCTATTTTATGGACCCACCGGTTCTTGTTTGCATGCAAATGGTATTTCTTGCAACTCTTCCAATGCATCATTGTTGCTACTTTGTCATGCCGTTGCTTGTAGTCAGTCTGAGTGATCTTCTTGCATCAGCTAATTAGGTGGTCCACTGTTCTTCAGCTTCTTTACAGAGATGGCACTGCACTCTGTTGCTATTTTCTCAATTTTGGCTTCGTATGCATTTGTTCTTAAGGCTTGATCATCATTATCATCATCATCATCATCATCATCATCATCATCATTATTATTATTGACATTTATATAGCCCCCCCAACTCACACATAGGTGACTCCAGGTGGCTTAAAAAAATTAAAAACCTTACCATATAATAAAACCCATTTAAAAAAAACATCCCTTGCTCCCCCCCCATGGCAGCAACAATATAATTAAATCAGTCACTTGATTGGCTGCATCTGTAAAAACATGTTTTTAGGGCCTTTTGGAAAAGCGGCAGGTCAGGGGCCAACCATACCTCAGGGGAACAATTTTCCACAAAGAAGAGACCACCACCAAGAAGGGCCTTTTTCATGGTTCCACCAGGTGGCAATTCCCGCTAGGTGAAGAATTCCAGATAATGCATATCACCAACAAAATGCTCTTCCCTGACTTCTAGGAAAGCACAGTGCAGAAAATTTTGGAATTTAAATGTAAAATAGAACTCCATTTTATCTCAGTAGGTATAATCCCAGAAAAAATAAATACAGTAAATAAATAAGAAACATCAAATTTAATAAGATTCATGCTGACAGCAGCAGAAATAAATTTAGTCTAATGCTGGAAGAAAGATACAATTCTGACAATATCTGATTGGGAACTTAACTTGAGAACCTGCAACAATGGCAAAATTAATAGTATATATTCACATCAGAAGCTTAACCAATTTTAAGTAAGAATGGCAGGCACAAACACATAGTCTGGCTTTTAAAGTGTCCAAATGCTTATAAATATTGTAAATTAGCAAAAGCACAAGAGAGGGAAGTTAGAAGCCAGATGGTCTACTTTTTCTCTTCCTCTTTTCCTTTGTATTTTGATTGCCATCAAATTTGCTTTGTTCATTTCCCCTCATTTTTCCCCCTTCAACATGCACAGATAATATTAAGCAACAATACAATAGAGATCTTAATGCTAAGTAATCAACTCAAGACAGAAATTTATTGTACTGTACAACAAATACTGTGATGCAATCTGGAGCAGCTTTTTAATGGTTGTATTCAGTTTCGGATGAAAAAGCCAAATAATCTTATGTTCATTAACACTGACATTTTATATCATAATATTGATATAATACTTCTCTCTTTTTTTAAAAAAAGTAATGGTTTAAGTTAACTAAACTTATTGAAATAATATAATTATCATTCAAATTTTACAACTATAATAGAGATTTTACCCAATTTAAAAAAAAAGAAAAAGAAAGAAGTTATTCCTGTTACTATGTTTTGAAATGTAGGTGCATATGAAAACAGCCATTTTGGTCATATATGAAAAAACCATTTGTATTGGATTCTCTGGGAATGCTTTCAGCATATTTCTGTTATATACATCCAGATGAACTAATGCTTTAGGTAACAATGCATCATAAAATATAGATAACCAGACTAAATAATCCCCTGATCATATCTTAAACCAGATTTACATAGCCCAGGTGCAATCCTGTGCATCACAATAAATGGTGCCTCTGACTACGTTTAGTTTATTATGTAAAACAACCAAACAAAAGATCTTCAAGCAGTTGAAATATAATCATTGCTTAAAAAGGCAAATCACAATTTTACAAAAAACAAAGAAACCACACAAACCAACAAAGAAACCTTACCCTTTAAATTGCTTGTGTGAAATAACAAACTGATTAAGGGTAAAGAAAAAGCGGAATCTGGGCTTTCTTTGCCTACTTCTCTTATTCTTTATCTTCTTTTATGCTGATTTGTGAGAAACAAGCCTCAGTATCCCATCTTGCACATTTGAGAGCATGAAATATCCATCAGTTAGTCTGGGGACCTCTCAGACAGTGCCCTGTTGCGGGAAAATTAACTCCATCTCTCCAGAGCTCCATTCTTCTGTGTTCCACTTCTCCATACCATAGGACAGCACCCTCCTACTCCAAGAGGAATTCTTACTATAGATAAGCCTTGGCCATGCTGATATTTACATTTCCACATTATACACAAGTTCCATTCCAACGCATGATTCTATTTTAATCATGTAGCTGGGTAAAGGCATATGCAGCTGACCTTGGAGAAAATGTGAAAGAACCATTTGGGCAAACCAGGCTGAGGAATTCTGGGAGTTGAAGTCCACAAGTCATAAAAGGGCCAAGTCTGAAGACCCCTCCAATAGACTTAGCCACTTCTGTCTCATCTACTCTGGGCTAAAAATTTCATAGCAGGCAGTTATGCAAGCACTAAGGTATGTGCTAAAGTTGACCTGTTTGGGAGGAAGAGGTGCACAGAGCGGTAACTCAGTGAGGAGATGGGGATAAGAATGAACAGTGTGGCTTTTGACCAGTCCTGTCTAATTTGTTTCCCTGCCCCCATTAGATCTACCTGTCGTGGAAGAGTGGACCAGGCGAAGTGAAGCACTGGAAGGATATGATTTCACACCCTCGCCAGGCGGTGGCACAGTGGCATCAGCTGAAGGCTTGAGAGGCAGAAGCCAAGGTCTCGCTCTGGGGTTGGGTGCACCAAGTCAGCATTTATTGGCTACACTCTCATGACATGACTTTATGCACAGCGGCTGCACTGAGGTGTCCTCGTGAGAGAAAAGCTTGGGGATGGACGAACAGAGGCTAAGAGAGTAAACCTGAAATATGTACTAAAAAAAAAAAAAACTCTGGGTGTGGGAAAGTGACGTCAGTGCCCCTTATGCTGGTTCAGCGGCACGTACTACTATGAGGAGCATTGTGACCACCCGACCTCCTGCTTTAGCCCGTCCTTCAGATTTCGTGCTTAGCAAGAACAAGCAAGAGGAAGAGCGAGAATAGAGGAGAGCCACTCTCCAGGGGCTTCAGCCCAGAGAAGTGAAAGGGGCCTCTTCAGCCCTGGTTTGATTGAGTATGCGGTGTGGCACGGACCTTGAAGTAATGGGAGGAAAGGAATCTGTGATCGCCATACAAGACTGCCTATGCGTTCTTCCAGCCAAAGGCCCATTAGGATGGTAGCCTGCCCTGCCATGAGAAAGCTAGCCCTCATCTGTGGGTGCACAGACTTGAGAGGGGGAATGGCAAGATCACTTGCTCTGTTTCAGTGAGGTGGCTTCATTATAATTCAATACAACTTGTAAGAGTAATAATATAAATAATAAGGATGGCTAGACCTTTATCTTAGCCAGGCCTCTCAGCAGAGAGGAGCCATGATGCTCCCATAGCCCTCTGGGTGCATTTTGTCTGTGTGTGTGTGTGTGTGTGTGTGTGTGTGTGTGTGTGAGAGAGAGAGAGAGAGAGAGAGAGAGAGAGAGAGAGAGAGAGAGAGAGAGAGAGTAACTGAATGTGTGTGTGTGTGTGTGTGTTGTAACTAGGTATGAAGAGCATTTATGTGTCACTTGTGTTTTCTTTCCCTCAGCCCCAGAGAAATTGTTTTTCTAAGGGATTGTCAGCCTCACAGGGATCAACAAGAACTTATGCCATGTGAGAAAGGAAAGCAACTGATTTCCAGGCTTGGAGTCAGAGGGAAAAGAGAACACTGAGAGGCAAGGAAGCTATTTTGATGGCCCACAGGTCAGGAAGCCTTGAAGTATGTGTCACAAACTAAAGTTTCTTAGAGAGAAACTAATGTTTATTTACTCCTTTGATCTGTCAGTGGTGAAGAGACGTGTTAAATACTGCTGAATTTTCCCTCACAACTTGTTCCATCCAATCAGCCATAAGAAGTCTACCTATTTCAATCTGCACTGGCACCATCTTTCTTCTCCATCTTGGTTCCAAGGCTGGCATTTGCCCAGACCAGAGTCCTTCCACTGGAACAAGCGTGCAGCAATACAATTAACCAGTCAAGTTTCCCATTAATTGTAAGATAGATTGCCTGGTAATGAACACCTCATTAACAACTTACATCACTCATGAGTGTATGGCTTTTTAGAGAAGCATGCACCTCCACTAAGTACATCTCAGGATATTATTTTATATAATAAATTACCCCTGCTTGCTAATCAGAGACCCTAGATGTCCTTTAGTTACTTAGATCTTGATTTGTTTTTTCTCCAGATCCTAGAACATCTTATGGTCTCCTAATTTTTCTCCTGATAGAAAAAAAATAGAAAAACGTCAGTTTTCTAGGTATCTAGTTAGCATAAAAAGATAGAAGACAAGTGTGTCAAAGCAGGGATGGAGGTACTCTGAAAATAAATCACTGTAGCTAATTTCAGGTTAATCCACTTAACATAGAATATATTAAAATCAGCAGGTGACACTATCACCATCACAAATTTAGCATATCCTGCTTGTAATAATTAAACAAAAGTGAGCCTAGCCACAGTCCACAATTATTTTGTATATGTTTGACAGCTTCTCTACTTTCCACCCCAAATCAGGAAGGCTCTGTTAAAAAAAGGATTGTTCATCATAAAACATCCAGTGCTAACACTGCAATCCACCACACCACACCCCAGCTCCTGATGGGTGCAGTGGCAACTGAGCAACATTGTGATTTTAACTGCATATTCACATAACTGATGTGTTGTGTTCAAAACTTAAGCTGCTATGGAAAATGGATGCCTTGACATATGTGCAAAGCAGTTTTGTGATCCAAGATGGCACTTGTTGAACTTTTTTTTAGCATCCATTAAACAAAATATACTTGGAAGACAATTAATTTCTCCTTTAATGTGTCATAGACAAGATTGCATGAATCAATTCTGAAATGACATTTTCAGATTACTGCCAGGTGCTCTATCAAATGACAAGATGCTTTTACTTACGGCTTTTGTCGTGCAGTGTCACACAGTTTAACCCGCAGAATTCCATAGAAGGTCCAGATGGTTATGTCTTCCTTGTCTCTTTTCCATGTGTTCCCTCCAGTTCTTCCAGGCTTTTTCCTATCATGGGAAATCTACTAAGAAGATAAAGAAATAGAATAGTATAGCTCCAAAAGTAGAGCTAGGAACCCTCTTTCAGTTTGCAATGATATGGCTGGAAGGAATCATAGTGCACTCAGTTATTTGAGTAACAATTCCGCTACTGGTTTATTCCTTATTAATGGTCTCTTTCTCGTAAAACTTACATGAGAAGAAAGTATATGATCTTCCAAAGTGGTCTTCTCACTTATCTAATGGTCTATATTCTTAGGAAATTTCCAGTGGTCATCTAAAATCTCCGTTGTTTAAAACCATGATTCAGATCTTCCTCTCTAGCACAACAGAAAACAAAGTTGTTTTGCTGTTTATGAGTCAGTGCTTCAAACGTCAGGCAATAATTATCATAACACTTCTTAAATTATTTGCTTAGGATAAATTATTGCAAGATCCTCTTCCCTATCTTTATTGAGTTAAGGGCACAAAAAGTGCAATCTGGAATCATATGCCTTCTATGTAGATCTATTTTGTGGTCCAACAACTCAGATTGGAGAAAAACAAAACTTGATCTTCTTTTGCATTGGGGGGGAGCAAAATGGACACCTTAAGCTTTGCAGATACCCAAGGTATTAACTTCAAATAATAGTTTCTGCCCACTTTTGGCATGCAATTCTCAATATCCCAGCCATCCCTCGGTATAGCCCTTGAACCAACAGAAGTTTCATGCCACTATCTCTAGACAGAGACAGGCTAGTTGTTTCAAGAAAATGAAGATGGTGGTTTTGGCTTCTCATTCTTTTTCTCCATCAAACTATTGTGTTATATTTCCTAGAATTTGAAAAACATCCCTATGAAACTTATTTAAGGAAATCTGCCTTAAAATGTCCATGGTTGGTCCTGCCCCAAGGCAAGCAGCTACAACTGATAGATCTGGAGCATCAATAAAAAGCAGTAAGGATTATCATACCTTTTACTACTATGATAGTGTTAGCTGATTTTTTTTTGTTCCCTATTGTCATGGTTCCGACAGATGAAACGCTTCAAAGAACTTTGAGGCATTGTTTACCTTAAAAGAATTTTTATTTTGAGTAGCATAGCATCGGCACTAGTATAATCAAAGCCAAAAACTAAATTCCCCTCCCCTGAGCACATAGTATCAAAGCACAATTCCCCCCTCCAATTAACAGTCATAAATCACATTCCCCAATTAGTGTGAAGCATTCTCCAGCCTGCCAATTTCTTATCAGCTCTGGTTACAATAACCTTGTTTCTCAGGCTGGGTCCAGCGTTATGTCTAGCTGGACTCTCACTCACATTCCCCCTCCCAGCATCATCCAGCTCTAAAAGCAAAAGGTAAAAGATGGCTACATTTCCATTTGTTGTCAATGCAAAAACATCTGATGTTAGCAGCGTTGACACTCTATGCTGTTTCTTAAGCCATCTCTGCACACAAGAGCAGTTACTTCTGCTGCAAGAAAGGATTCTGAATGCTTTTTTTTTTTTTTTTGTGCAGGAACCCTAGGCAATAGTGACTTTGAACAGGGGAGATTCAAGGCTTAGATTCTCTTTTGATTACATTTTCCTCAGACATTACCTTTATCACAGAATATTCACTTGCTTCCTTTATAACACAATTTTAACAAATATGCCACCTGGTCCCCTATGAGAGAAGAAGAGCTGGTGGGTATTTTTAATTCACCACATTTCTTATCTGAAAGTGATGCCAAGTCTTGAGATAATACACGTGACTGTCACTGACAACAACATAGATAAAAACAATAAGTTTTAAAGCCTTCTGTTCTATGAGCAATGGGAGATGAGATACAGATAAATCTAGGAAAATGGAAGGGAGCATAATATTTGTTAGGAGGCACCAATGTTCCATTTTGATTTTTTTTTCCTGAACAACTTTAGAACCACTTAGAACCAAAGGGGAGATTGCTCATATTGATCCATTTCTCTGAGGATAGGAATGCCTATATTGACAGGCAAAGTAACACTTTTACAGACTCTGACAAACACCAAAGACTGACAGAATTAATTAAACATGATGGGCAAGTAACAAGATCATTTTGGCAATGCTATAAAGTCATAAGGAAAACAAACATTTTTCAGTGATAACAGAAGGGGTGGTAGTAAGGAAGGAGGATGTTCAACTGGGTGAGGCCTGCACTGAGTACCGGAGTCAATGGATAACAGGATTCTCACAACTTCTAGACTTTTCTAGTCATAATGCCAGTGAAGTAGGCTAAACCCAAAGTTGTAGTTTTGGAAAAGAATAGATTTTGGTTTAATATAAAATGGCTAGATAGCTCATTAATTTTGGTTGAAAATCTAGGAATTATTTTAAAGTTGCTCACTCCTTCAACTTCAACAAGATGTGACTGCTGGCTACCAGCTTAGCTGGTTGGACTGAATCAGGGAAATCATAGGGATCAATGGATATTAGTTTTGATGGCAACATGACTGCCTCTGAAGGCCATCTTCCTTGTGCAATTGGCTGGTCACTATAAGAATAGACTGCTGGACTGGATAGACCAGCGGTCTGATCCAGAAAGGTCCTGCTTTCTATTGTTTTCAGGCCATTTAGTTTCCACAATCTTACTGCAATTTCATACCAGCT